TTCAAGAAAGGGGTTCAAGATGAGGAAAGGAGAGGCCCAAGTGAGAGTGCCCAGCACCCTCGGATGGCTCAGTGCCCACAGGTTAATGCCAGTGTTAGAGTCTTGACTGCTGAGAAACATAAAGCTACAATTCTCTCATCTGGGTTGTGGAACACCCAGGAGGGGTCATTCCCTAGTTGTATCTGGTGGTTCGCTTCCGGCCTGTAAGCGCTTCCTGTTTAGCTCTTCCTTTTCTTTCTTCCTAACATCCCTTCCTCCAAGCAGGTTCTTCTTCCTTCTGGGCAGAACACAAAGCCCTGGGGTTCCCCTGACTCACGCTGACTGTTCTGATGCATTGGTCATCTACCACCGGTCTCATAGAACCCAGGTGTCGTCTTAAAATGATGAAGGGGGATAGGATTTCATATCATGGCATATAGGGCCATTCTATCATGAGAGGTTGTGTGTGTGTGTCACTAGTCACCCCTGCTCAAGGAGCTGTCCTCACGGGCCCAGGCCACTCCACTTGCCTGTACTTCCCTCCTCACTCATGCCCTGGCTGGAGCTCCTCCTGCATCCTTGCGCTCTCCCGCCTGTTGAGTTTTCTCTTTCCCTTCCAACTACAAAAGTTTCTCTTCTGAAATTTCTTCCCTTTTGCAAAGTAGAGATCCATGCTGCCTTTTTGGTGAAGGCCTGATCACAGAAGGAAAAAGTGATCTGTCCCATAGCCAAGCTCAGGGAGACGCAGTTCAGGCCTTTTGTGAAGTCTTCATATATCTGCACACTGCCATCGCAGATGCTGCCTTTGGACACATTTTCCTGATGTTTGTGTTATGATCAGTAACTCATAGATTCAGAAGGCTTTTTAGGACCTAACAGCCATGTTCAAAATTGACTTTCCAAGAAAGCATGATCTGAGCCCTACGTATGCATTCATTCACATGATGCATTTCATTCGCATGGTTTGAAAATCCAAAATCATAAAAGGATATATAGTGAAAAATTTCTTTTCCACCCTGTTCCCCCTTCCATCCACTTCCCCTCTCTGTGGGCAGTCACTATTATACATTTCTTATGTGTTTCCAGAAATATTTTATAGATAAGCCAGTACAGATATACATTTTGCACCTTTTTTTCCTTTGATATGATATACATCCTTGGGCTCTTCTCGGATGAGCATATTAAGGGCTCTTCTCGAATGAGCATATTAAATGCTTCTTCATCCTTTGTTAGATCTGAATAGTATTAATTTGTATGGATGCACTTTAATTTTTCGAACCAGTCCTCTATAGGTAGACAATTAGGTTGTTTCCATCTCTTAACTGTTATAAACTGTGCTGGTTTCAACAGCCTTGTTATTTCTCATATATACGATTGGGTAAATCCCTGTAAGTGCAATCTAAGGTCAAAGGGCATATGATTTAGTTTTGATAGATACTGCCCAACTGCCTGAGTTTGGACCTGTTCCTATTTCGACTATCAGTGGATGTGTGGGGCCTGTTTCTAATCCTCATCAGCCCAGCACATTGCCACACATTTGTGTTTTAAACAGGCTTTGGGATGCACCCCTTTCATAATTTGAGAGCAGAAAGAATTCCCAGGGAGGGCGCTCATCAAATGTCATGTCAAGACCTCAAAGCTTTGAGCCCAGCCACCTGGCTTCGTGCTTGATAGCCATGCAGCCTTGGCAGAGTGGCTGGACATCAGCTCTGCAGTAGTATTCTATTTGTAAAATGAGGATAGTAATAGCCTCATGTCTCCTTCAGGTAGTCCATGTCAAGGGTTGGAACAGCGCTTGGTACATAGGGAAGCCCTTGAATGCCTGGACTCAACGAATCCTCCAACCTCAGCCTCCCAAGTAGCTACAGGTGTGCGCTACCACACTCAGCTAGTCTTTTTAGAAAAAAGTTTTTGTAGAAACTCGGCTGCCCAGATGATGTTCCTGTCTCAGCCTCCTGAGTAGCTGGACTATCAGTGGGAGCCCCCATGCCCAGCTAAATTTTTTTTTCATAGAGATGGGGTCTTGCTGTGTTGCCCAGGCTGACTGCAAATTCCAGGCCTTAAGTGATTAACATTTTTCTTTTTTTTAAATAATTGCAACACCCTACTCTGGGACCTGGCCTTGCATAACCCTGCATCCATCAGCTGACCCCAGGCAGCCCTGGCATGCCGTGAGTTGTGGTGGACACACTATCTTTCCATGGCAGCTGCCTTCCTGGCCATGTGCGCTGAGGACACCACTCCTGTGGGCAACTGTTCCTCACGCCACCCAGCTGCTTCTGCAGGCAGTCAGCCAGCCACATTGTGACCAGAGGGCAGGAAGGCCACCTCTGAACAGCAGGGGCCCTAGGCCAGGACTAGGCATTGTACACTCATACAGGAAGGAAGTTCTGATGTTTAAGCAGGAAGAACCTGGGCTTCAACTTTAGTTACCAAGACAAGACCTAAATTAGAAAACCATGAGAGAGAGTGTCAGGACCCATGATCATGTCACTGTTGGCAGCTCCAAGGTCAGCCTACTCTGCGTGAGTATAAACCTCCTCACACTTTTCTGCGGCCTCCCCACACCCAGAGCCAGAATGAGGCTGGCGCTCTCCAGCTTATTGTTTTCAGCCTTCTTAGGCCTGGGTTGCTGGCAAGAATGCTGACACACTGAGCTAGCTGCTTCCCAAACTGAGTTAGCTGTTATCAAGCCAGTGGGCAGTGGAGCACAGTCCTTGTCACCTGCCACTGGTAAATGAATTTAAAACTCTTGCTGAAAGGAAAGAAATATGGGGCAGATGCAGACAGCCTCCAGCTGCTACAAAGCAAATGTGACTCCCTTCAAAACATCAGCTAACCCACCCAGCCTTTGGAGTATTTATTTGCAGTCTCTGCAGCCAGGGGGAGAGGCTCCTGAGGGAAGAGGTCATGGCAGAGCCATTTGGGGAGTTCCTGCCATGGGGAAGGGTTTAATTTCTCTATGTCAGCATCAGAGGTAAAGGATTATTTTCAAAAGATAAAAACATCTCATGGGTAAAAGGACCTGACATCCCCAGTGCCTTCTTACAGTTCATCCCTCCTAATCTTATCATATAGTATGTGCAGGGAGGATGTGTTAGCTTTCCACAGTGGTAACAAACCACCATAAACTTGAGCGTTTACAACAACATTTACCATCTCACAGGTTCTGTGGGTCAGGAATCTGGGCAGGGCTGAGTTCCAGGATCCCACTGAGTTGTGATTCAATGTGGGCCAGGGTGGTGGTCTCATCAGAGGCTCAACTGGGGAAAGATCCACTTCCAAGCTCCCTAACATTGTTGGCAGATTTAATCTCCATAGGCCCTTCATATTGTAACTGCTCACCTCTCCACAGCCAGCAAAGGGAATCTTTCCCTTGTCAGATGGAATCTGCTATAATGTAACCTAATCAGGGAGTGACCTATCACCTTTCCCACACTCCCTTGGTTAGAAGCCAGTCACAGGTTCTACCCACAGAGTGAGTGAGATCATCTAGGATGATAGGGCATACATAATCATGTGAGTAGCAAACGAGGGGATCACCCCATTAGGTCACCTAGTCAGAGAGGTAGGCCATGTGCAGTAGTGGGGGCTGTGCACAAAAAAAGGGGGGTCCACCCCCCTTAGGTCACCAAGGCAAGGAGGTGAGTTGTGTGCAACAAGTGCCATGCACAACACCTCTTATCTGGGGGCTGGAGACTTCAAAGGATTCCTATAGAAGGATGCTGTAAACCAATGCAGTGGGAGCTGAGAGTGTGCTCCTCTAAGGTATTTTATAGGAGGATGATGAGCCAGCACAGTAGCGAGAAAAGCTGACAGGGTATACAGCTGCCGTGGTACAATTACACCAGAGGGGTTCTTCTCCCTCAGTTGTTTGTGGGATCTCAGGCCTGAGGCCTACTTTCCACAAGAACTGGATGCAAGGTACTGCAACTACTTTTCAGGAGGAATAACTCTTGCTCCAAGCCGGCAATGCAGCAGGTACTGAGCACTGCCGTCTAGGTCCTGACCTGCCATATAGCGTCTGCCCTTTCAGGCAGGGGTGCTACGTCCTGGGTCATTGGTTCTGGTCTGGCTGTTTTTCCCATGTACTTGCTTCTGCTCTGTGACTGCTATAGGCATTCTTCCTACTACAAAGTACTATATGGTTATATATAAGGATTATATAAATAGCACTAAATGTCTGTACAGCTCCAACTACAATCCGTTATGATTATATATATAAGCTAGATATAAGTAAGCAATAAGTTATACTTCAGGCAATAATTGTGCCTGGGGTCTGCATAGCTCTCCTTCCTCGGTGCCCATGTTGGGGGTTACTCACAAGCAGTTTTATTCTTTTCCTCCCATCTCGGGATGCCTTCAAATCCCGACATCCTCGACAGCTCAGTACTCTCTGCCACAACCTGATTCCAACTCTAGCTCTCTTGATTATTGGCTATATGTTATTGAGAAAAGGTGACTTTCTGGGGGAAGGGCTTATCCTGAATCTCTATTTTCTTATCTGTAAGAATGTATTCCACTAAGATTTTGCAGGATGGTAGCATATAATAGTTGTCACTTACTAAATAATTCCAGCACCTTTCCTTGTAGGACTGTTCATTTTATTGCATTAACTTATGTACATATGGAATCCAACAATGAAATATCATTAATCTTGCCAGTGTACACATCAAAGCAAAAGGAAAATGTATTTTAAAACAAACCCAGCTATATTTAGGGAGCTGAAATCACTGATTCTATGCTTACAGGAATTCTTAGAATAAAGGAAAAGGACTAAAACCTTAGACGTGTTCATGGCCATATCTAAACGGTACTGGTGTCAAAGATTTGGGATTTTTAAGTCTTTTTCTTTCTCCTTAAATAAGACTAAGATGAAAATTTTTATCCAGTTGTTGAGGGGAAACAATAAGGTAAGTTTGGGTTTAGCTGGAACTGGTCCTGCCATTATTTACAGGTTCTTGTAAAAAAGGGAGGCCCTAGGGTCTTCAGATTATAACCTGCTTTGGTTTCTTCTCCAGGTTTTTCCTGGTGGTGGTGAAGACTGGATGATGTAACTGGCTCTCTAGGAAGCCTCACTTGGCCGTAGCCTCTGGAAGGTTCTCTTTGACCCCATCTCAATTCATAGTGACTTCTGAAGCCACTTGAGAAAAATGATGTGACAGTTCCTATCAAAAAGGATTTTTCAGAAATATATACCATCTGAGAAGAAAGTGGCCCTTTTTCCCTGCTTGCAAAATAGACATCCTCAAATTCCAAAATGCCAGCCAAGACCCCAATTTACCTGAAAGCAGCCAATAACAAGAAAGGAAAGAAATTTAAACTGAGGGACATTCTGTCTCCTGATATGATCAGTCCCCCGCTTGGAGACTTTCGCCACACCATCCACATCGGCAAAGAGGGCCAGCACGACGTCTTTGGAGATATTTCCTTTCTTCAAGGGAACTATGAGCTTTTACCTGGAAACCAGGAGAAAGCACACCTGGGCCAGTTCCCTGGGCATAACGAGTTCTTCCGGGCCAACAGCACCTCAGACTCTGTGTTCACAGAAACACCCTCCCCAGTGCTCAAAAATGCCATCTCCCTCCCAACAATTGGAGGGTCCCAAGCTCTCATGTTGCCCTTGTTGTCACCAGTGACATTTAATTCCAAACAGGAGTCCTTTGGGCCAGCAAAGCTGCCCAGGCTTAGCTGTGAGCCCGTCATGGAGGAAAAAGCTCAGGAGAAAAGCAGCCTGTTGGAGAACGGGACAGTCCACCAGGGAGACACCTCGTGGGGCTCCAGCGGTTCTGCCTCTCAGTCCAGCCAGGGCAGGGACAGCCACTCCTCGAGCCTGTCCGAACAGTACCCCGACTGGCCGGCCGAGGACATGTTTGACCATCCTGCCCCCTGTGAGCTCATCAAGGGAAAGACTAAGTCAGAAGAGTCCCTCTCTGACCTTACAGGTTCCCTCCTCTCCCTGCAGCTTGATCTTGGGCCCTCACTTTTGGATGAGGTGCTGAATGTCATGGATAAAAATAAGTAATAGGATGCCAGCTTTTTTCCTGTGGGGTAAAAGGTACAAAAAATAAACCGCAGTTGAAGAGAAAGGCTTCCGGAGCTGTATTTGCAGTTTTGTGATGGGTTTTCTAAAATAATATTCTTACAAAGTATTTTTCTACCTGTTATGCTCTGTTTGCAAAAACAATTTAGGAAAAAAATAACAAAGCAAAACCTGTGTTGGCAAATCAGAGCCCACTTTCAGCAGGCATTGGTGATGTTTGGCTCATGTATTGTTTGCAGACACACAAGAAATCTGGCTTGGCCAGGATTGGCACTAGCTATGAAGGGCTGGGCGAGTCACATTAAGGAACTTTACAGCACTCCTACATCTTCTGAGCAAAAAGGAAGTCAAAATTTATTTAACACCTAAGCCTTTTTTCTAGACTCTTTTCTATATATTGCTTGGGCTCACCATAGCGAATTCTCCAGTGTTAAAAACTTTTCTGTTTTCACATTTGAACTTTATGGGTTTTGGGGATTTTCTTGTAGTTCTTATATATCCCTATATATTATATCTATATTGCAAATTTTGACTGTCAGCTACTTGTTGGTAAGACACAGGCGAAGTATTACTGTAACTAAGTTATTTTTAAAGTTAAAATATATTTTTACGTGCCTTTGGCTTTTTATTGCAGAGTCTACATTTTATAGATCCCACATCAGATGTTGTCACTTGACTTGTTTCCATTGGGATTCCATTGTAAGCTGTGTATGTGTGTGTTTGGAAAAGTGTATTCATACTTAGTTTTTTTCTTTATGTTATCATACTTTTAACAGCAACCAATAATGGATTGTAAAGTATAAAGGCACAGGTTATTCATGATGCTTCTGCAGAGACTGTGGGCTACACCACGTAATGTTATTTGGAAATATAGGTATATTAGTACAGTACATACTTGCATTACATAGGTACTTCAAGCAACACAATAAAGAGTAAATGATAAAGTGAACTTGCTTGTTTACAGTAATAAACAAGACCATAAGAGTCTAAGTCTAGCTAGAGAAATTGCTTCTCTGAAATGTACATGAGCCTTTCAAATAAGAAATGATTATTTCCCTCTATTCTAATTTTGATTACTTCCTTATGGTTTGAGAGGCTAGAAACTGGGCCTCTCTACTTTAGGATAAATGAACATGTCAAATTTTTTTCTTTTTAATGTCAATACTGATCCACCCTCTCAGTGCCCATTTCTGAGCATCTTCCGAACTTGAACACCTACAGCAAACTCTTGCAAGTCCAGTTTCATCCCTGTAAGACAAATGTCTGTTCATGCAGCAAATGCCATATAGACAAGATTAAGGCAGCTAAAGCAGGGGCAGTAGAGAGCACTTACCCCACCCCAAGGTGGATGTTGGTTAAGGAAACAGGATCAGGAAATGTACACAGAGATTCCTGTCCCTTTGCCAACCACTCCTTCCCCCTCAAAGAAAAACACTTGCACCCAATAACTGCCAGCAACTTCTCTTAAACGTATATTTCTCCTTGAAATGTATCTTAGAAATGACCTCCTCCCAACCACTTCAACAATTCTTTCTTTGGGTTTGGGGTTCTTGCAATTCTATCGTCTAAAATAACCTTTGGACTGCAGGTGAAATGCAATTAGGATTACTAACCCGGTAGACAGAACGAGTTCCCCTAGGCAGGGGTGTCCAGTATTTTGGGTTCCCTGGGCCACAGTGGAAGAATTTTCTTGGGCCACATGTAAAATACGCTAACACAAACCATAGTTGATGAGCTTAAAAAAAACTACAAAAAAAACCAATGTTTTAAGAAAGCTTAAAAATTTGTGTTAGGCTTCCTATGGGCCACAGGTTGGACATAGCGTGCCTTCCTTAACTTCCCAGTTGTATTTCATTATCCATGACTCTGCAGTGTTCTTTTTCTGTTGGACCACACCCATCACAGTTCACAGTTCCAAATAGAAACTTCCCAGTCTATTCTAAATCTTGTTAATGAGGAAGAGTCCAATGTATCTCATTATTTGTAGCCAATTTTAGACTTTTTCAGTATCTCCCCCCATTTTAATTAGTATTGACCATATTCAGTCTTTCATTTTGCTCTTCATCTGTAGCATGACCTCAAGGTAAATGTTATTTCATGAGAGGAGGAAGAGCGCGGCTGTGCATTAGCTCTTCTCCCTCTCTGGTAAGTACTGGGGAGAGAACAGCCCTGCCAGTACTGGGTTTGTTTGATGGAGTCTAAATAATTGAACATCCTGCCTACAGTTAGCCATTTTAGTTTCTGGAAGTCCTTTCATATATTTTTTCTATTAATTGAATTAGGTGTAATTGAGATGGCAATAAATATGCCCCATTAGAAAGAGGAAACAAAGCTACATCCGGCCTACAAATGATTTTGTTGAGTCACTTCTCCCAAGGCAGCCTTTCCAGTGCCTAGTCCCTTCCCCAGAGAGCAAATGGACAGCTGGTGGTGCCTTTCTTTCCTGCAAAGAGGCACTTTAGACTCACACCTGCTGTGAGCTGAATTGATGTTCTCATCCTGTGAACCTTCTCCCACTTTAACGTAATTTATATTTACTTGTTTAAAGAAAAGGAAACCCAAGATGTACTTGATTTGCAAACTGAAAGCAAATGGCAAGCCACCTGTGACCCAATAACCGGAAAAGAAACCATGCCATTTGTATAAACAGAGACCCTTCTTGTTGGGGAAGTCAAGGCTCTTGTGGTTGATTTTCTTTTCCCCTTAGTGAGAGCTAACAAAGGACAAGCTGTATTATTTCTACCTGAAATTATCTGCTTAAAAAGATTAATATATCAGGATACTTAGCTCTTCACAAACATGAAGTCATTCATACATTTCAGTGAGTCAGAAATCATTGTTAACAGCACACACAAAAGACTACACTGGTTGAACAGCAAAGAGAACCCGGGTCTCCAGAACCACAGTTTAGTCCTTCTATATTACTGCAAGTGACCTGTTTTTTCTAAAGGTTCTCTGCAAATGAAGTCCTGGAATGGAAAAAAATCCCTAAGTCCATGAATTGATAAATATTTTAGAACAGACAAAAGAAAATACTGAATGATACAGCTCTAATCCTCCTGTTAATATGAAACCTGGTGAGACAATCATTTTACCATGAAATATATAAACACAATAGTATGAGCTAACGTGGTTTTCACTCCAGTAAGAGTTTTGCTTTTGGAAATTAGGTTAACAACCTAGCCCCAAATCTAGCAATTCTCATAAACAAAATCCGATTTTAGAATTAGCCTCCCAGATTAATCTGAATGATTGACCTATTTTTTCTTAGACAAGTCAATACATCATAGAATCAGGGTTATTGGGTGCTGCCCTGTGTCCCCACCCACTACAGAGCCCTATCTAGAAAAATTAGGGAAGCTTCCAGATGCCAAATGGAAGCTTCAACACTATCAACCCGGAGGGGAAACCTTCTGGTTGATTTGGCTGTATGAGATTCAAGAAGGCCAGAATACCCCAAATTATTCACACACGTTAACTTACTGGTACTGGCTAAGCAATACATGTATTTCCTAAAAAAGAGATGATCTTTCTGGTAGACTTATGGACACACTTGTTTCATCTGACTGTAAATATATTGCATGCTTTATTCTGATGGTGCACTATTTCATCCAGCAAGCTTTTCATCTGAGAATGTTTAACGTTGACCTTATTCTTAGAGCAAGTAGATCTAAATATTTTTCAGCTGAGTTGTTAGGGAGTCATTATTCTGTGGTAAAATGCTGCAAAAAACGTGGAAGAATGGAAACTATGCTTACTTTATGAAGTGATGTATAACACAATGAAATCTGTTTTACAACTACTGTGCTGCATTTAATTATCTTCCATTTTTGCTTTAAAAAAATTCATTAATGATGTCACTTCCATTGGCTTCCAATGGAGGTCAGTAAATCCACTCTCTGAAGGTTAGCCAAATTTCTTTCATGGAAAGCAGATCGACACGGGTGATAGATAAAAGCATCTGCCCAAACCAAAGCCGTTGTGCAGAATATAGTTAATATTCCAGAGACTCATCATGCAGACAGAGATGTCTGCCATACATCAAAATGAGCAAAGCTGAGTAAGTGAAGTGGATATTATGCTCACCATAAAGTGATTATTGGAGTATGTCACAAAGTATGCACATGATTCATTGCCAAAAGGATTGGGAAAAAAGAGCTTTGAGTTGGGAGGGAGAAACATTAAGCAGTTTCATGGAAGAGAAGGACCCAAAAGGTACCTTGAGGGGCTGCTGAGATCATTTTAGGGAGAGGGGACATTCTTGGAAGGAAAAGAGTATTATGAGCAAATCAAAGGATAGACTCACATCCTAGTACTGTTTCTACTCAAAACAGTCCAGGAATAGGATTGGAGTAAAAAAATGCCCACATCTAGGTCTGAAAGATTGGGACCCATTTCTAAGACTCCAGTGGAAGAAGAAAAGATCCTGGAATCAGACTGCTGAACAAGTGGTTCCCAGGGTAGATGTTTGTATAAAATTAGCCAGCATTTTGTGAAAGCTCATGCCCAGTCTATAGTGCCCATTCAGAGACCTGAAGGCAAGAGTAGGGACACCTCAATCGTGAGGCTGATGTGAGGTGCTCAGGGAAAGTCATTTAGGAAGATGAAGGAAGTGAGAGGGGCTAAGTGTCTCTGAAACAGCTCCAGATGAAGCAGGTTGGCATTAACAGTCCCTGGGCTGAACACACTGGATAGCTGTCCCACCAGCAGTATCCCCAGAAACTTTTTTGAGACGGGTCTCACTGTCACCAGGCTGGAGTGCAGTAGCACAATCACGGCTCACTGCAACCTCTGCCTCCTGGGTTCCAGTGATTCTCCTGCCTCAGCTTCCTGAGCAGCTGGGACTACAGGTGCCCACCACCATGCCTGGCTAATTTTTGTATTTTTAGTAGAGGCAGGATTTCACCATGTTGGCCAGGCTGCTCTCAAACTCCTGACCTCAAATGATCCACCCAACTTGGCCTCCCAAAATGCTGGGATTATAGGCATGAGCCACTGCGCCTGGCCCCAAGAACTTCTTTCAACCCATATTTTCCTAGGCTGGCTTATACTTTGAGTGTCCCCAGGATTAAGGAAGAAAGCTCCCCAGGAAACAGGAAAATCCAAATGTCATTAAAGTGTCTCCTGGGTCATTAGAACCCAAGAGGGCCAATTCTGGCATATAACGTAGGAAAAAATTCAATTGAGTAGAAACAAGCAGCCCCGAAGTTCTCTCAAACTCCTTGAAGTCCATACTCAGGAAACTGAGGCTCAGAGAGGAGCAGAAGCCCCAGACTTCTGAGGACCTGCCTCAGAGAGGTGATATCTGGACTGTCTACCCCTCAGGGAAGCTCACATTCAATCCCACTTTGAGTCCTTACCCAATTAGGCATGTCAGCAAGATGGTCTAATTAGCATAGCACAAAGTCCCCAACGTTTGGCACCACAAATAGCCACCAAAATACAGATGGTTCCCAACTTAGGATGGTTCTAAATTGAAAACACATTTTCTACTTATATTTTTCAACTTACAATGGGTTTATTGGGATGTAGCCCCCATCATAACTCAAGGATCATCTGCAGTGAAAAGATTCTTCCATTACATTTGGGTCTTGAAAATCCCAACAAAGAAACACTTTGAGGTACTGCTTCCATAGAAAAATTCCCATCTTTGAGTGTAAATTGGTTCAGCTATTGTGGAAGACAGTGTGGTGATTCCTCAAGGATGTAGAACTAGAAATATCATTTGACCCAGCAATCCCATTACTGGGTATATACCCAAAGAATTATAAATCATTCTATTATAAAGACACATGCACACGTATGTTTATTGCAGCACTGTTCACAATAGCAAAGACTTGGAACCAACCCAAATGCCCATCAATGATAGATTGGATAAAGAAAATGTGGCACATATACACCATGGAATACTATGCAGCCATAAAAAAGGATGAGTTCATGTCCTTTGTAGGGACATCGATGAAGCTGGAAACCATCATTCTCAAGAAACTAACACAAGAACAGAAAACCAAATACTGCATGTTCTTACTTATAAGTGGGAGTTGAACATTGAGAACATATGGACACAGGGAGGACACTGGGGACTGTCAGGGGGTGGGGGGCTAGGGAAGGGATAGCATTAAGAGAAATACCTAATGTAGATAACAGGGTGATGGATGCAGCCAACCACCATGGCATGTGTATACCTATGTAACAAACCTGCATGTTCTGCACATGTACCCCAGAACTTAAAGTACAATAAAGAAAATTCCCATCTTTAAGTACCAGGAAATGTGCATTAAAACTCCAAAGGATGTCATTCTCATACCCATGGCCAGCTTTGTTACAAGTGAAATAGGCAGAACCTGCATGGCCATAGAAAAACAGTACTGCTCAAAACAATTTCTTCTACACTCATCTTCCCCAGGGCTGGAAAATCCACCTTTGGAGATGGGTTCTTGTTTGGGTGAGGCTTCCTATTAGGCATGGAGTCCCCCTAGAATAATTCCAGGAGTAACAGCATCTGCAGGCCACCAACAACGACTGTGAACTCACTCATCAGATGCCCCCTGTGGGAGCACAAGTCTCTAGCAACTGGCCTGGGGCAAGGGAGCAAGACAGACCAGGAAAAGCATGAAGAGTGAGTTCATGTAAGGCATAATTTTGCCTGGGACAAAAAAAAAAAAAAAGGGTAGTGAAGCAGTGATGAGCTTTTCTAAGAGATTTATTTGAGAGCAAATGTGGCCTTCACAAGATATAATGAAGG